GCCAGTGGAAAGAGCTGGCGGTGCCGGGGCGGGCGCCTCCAGGCCGTGAGTCGGGGGTCCCCGGGGGAGGGTTGGGGCTCAGCCGCAGGGGTTGGGGGGCCAGGAGGGAAATCGCAGCCTACGCTCAGCTGCCTCCTATGGGGCAATTAGGGAAGGATGGTATCTACTCTCTGTCTTGGGGAGTCTCCCTTTCCCGCAAGGCTAGGCAGGGAGGGAGGCCGATCGCCCCCATCCTCACAGAGCGACCTCCCCACCGCCCACCCAAACCCCGGCAAATTGCGGATTAGAGAGAGAAACCCGATCCTGGGGTGTCTGGGTTCCCATTTTACCATCTCTGAGACCCCCGCGATTCGTTAACACCACCAACCAACACATCCCAGCTTCCTTCACGGCCCCGCCCAAGTTTAGGAAAAAGGAAACATTTGGGTGGGGAAGATCTACAGGCGCCTCGCTTAGCGGGGAGTTTGAAGGTTATAAAGGATCTGTCCCTACACCATCCCCCACCCCCACCCCCACCCCAAGACTTCTGCCCACTACTGGATGTGGGGAGGGTCCCTGTCACTTTCCTTATGTCTCACTCTTACTGATACCCGAATTTTCTAATTCTAGTGATAGTGGGCAGGAGAAACCTCTTGTCAATTGAAACCCTAATTTTGGTAGAAGGGGGTTATTGAGGAGGAAAGAATAGTATTGTATGTCCTCCCTCCGGGGCATCAAGTTGAAGCAAGTTAGGGGCAGGGACACAGGATAGTAGGTATGGAGGGACAGAGGCAAAGTCCAAGAGGCTTGTCCATAGGGAGGTGGGGTCCTCCTGGGGCAGAGGAAGGAACTGGACCCAGCGGGGCCAGCCCTGGGCAGCCGGCAGGAGCCTCCTGCTGCTCTTCCTGAGCATAGATATCCCACTGCAGCCCACCCGCTCCCCCACTCACTCACCCAGCAAGTATGGACTGACACCTGCTAGTGCCAAGCTCCATGCTGGCTCCTGGGAATATGATGGAGGATGTATAGAGGAGTTCCCCATCTAGTCTGGGAGCTGGATTTGTAAGCTGCTTTTACAAGAGAGTTTTTAAAAAATTGAATAGACATTTACTGACCATCCATTATGTGTTGGGGACAAGAAACAAACAAACATGAATTAGACAGTGTGTACCCAGGGCAGAGGGACCCAGAGGAAGGCAGTTAACTGTGTGTGTTTGTATGTTGGGGCAGTGGGGAGAACATCAGGGTGGCTTCAGAGATGGGGGAGGGATATTAGAGCTGAGTTTTGAAGTATAAAAAGGAATTTGTGGGTGGAGAAGGAAGGACCTTAGAGGGGAGGGGAGAGGAAGGGTACCGTAGGCCAAGGGGATTGCGGGAGGAGAGTAATGGTGCATTTCTGAGATCTCTGAGCAGTTTGGTGTGGCAGGAGGGGCAGAGTGGCAAGAGGCAAGTCTGGAGGGATGAGCAGGAGCCAGATGAAGCACAACCTTGTAGGCCATGTAGAGGTTTAACAGGAGTTTAGGGAGCTGTGATGAATCAAATTTACATTTGTAACCGGAGGCAGAGAGATCAGAGAAAAGGCTGTGGCAGTCAGGAGTTCAGGTTCGAAATGGCCTAAACCAAGTGAAAGTGAGGAGAGTTGCATGTACAGACACACACAGAGGGTTTGGTGTTTTTCTCAGAATTTCGTGGCCAATGAGATGGGGAAGGAAGCAGAGTGAGGGGTCCAGGATGCTCTCAAGTGTCTGACTAGAGTGCCGGATGGAGAGTGGGGCCAGTTTGCCGAGGTCACTGAAGAGGAAGAGCTGTTTGGACACGAAGAATTTGAGGAGCCTGTGGTTGGTTGCAGGGTTGGAAAGCAGTTGGATCTGAGCTGGAGGCAGATCTGAGTCACCAACACATGATGCTCCTTGAAGCTACAGCAGAGGATGAGGTCATCTGAGGAGAAGTGCATAGAATGAGAAGACACCCTGCCTCAGAGGGCCGAGGGTAACGCTGTGCAGGAGACTGAGAAGCAGCGGACAGAAAGGGAGGAGGAACGCCAGGAAGGGAGGTGTTACCGGAGTCCAGGGAGAGGGACTAGAGGAGGAGCAGCCAGGCCCGCTTGCTGATTGCCTCCACTCTGACAGGACACCCACCCTGTCCTGCTCTGACTCATTCTTCTGCTTCCCCTCTGCAGACGAGATGTTCGCCATCCAGCCAGGGGTAGCTGAGGGGGGCCAGTTGCTGGGGGGCCCACCTCCTGGAGTATGCCAGCCCGAGTTTCATCCAGATAGCAACTCCAACTTCATGGCGAGTGCCAAGGACGCCAATGAGAATTGGCATGGGATGCCAGACCGAGTGGAGCCCATCCCGATGAGGAGATCTTCCGAGTTGCCCTCTGACAACCAGGCCTTCCAGGACCCTGGACTCCCTGAGGGGGAGCTCCGCAGCCCACCAGAGGGAGCAGAGATCCCCAGAGCTGAGCCTGAGAAGATAAGTGGTACCGGCACAATCTGCTCCCCTCTGGAGGACAATGGCTATGCCAGCAGCTCCCTAAGCATTGACAGCCTTAGTAGCAGCCCTGAGCCTTCCTGTGGGACTCCTCACGGCCCTGGGCCTTCAGATCCCCTTCTGCCCTCGGTAGCCCAGGCTGTGCAGAAGCTGCAGGCTCAAGAGCGCTACAAAGAGCAGGAGAAGGAGAAACACCACATGCACTTGGTGATGTACCGCCGCCTGGCCCTGCTCCAGTGGATCCGAGGCCTGCAGCATCAGTTGGTTGACCAGCAGGCCCGCCTTCAGGAGAGCTTCGACACCATCCTAGACAACCGAAAGGAGCTTATCCGCTGTCTCCAACATAAGGCAGCACCGTCCAGGCCCTAGGACCAGGATTAAGAGTGTGCCTCTCTGGGTATTTGTATGTATTTGCAGGCATGTGTGAGATTGTGTACAAGTATATGATTAGCTGGTATGAGTGCAGGTAAGCTTAAGTGAGTATGTATGTGCTAACATGTGCCAGGCATCAGCTTATGTGTGCTGTATATATACACAGCCTTAATTATGTGCAGGCCTGTGTGAGTGTGTCCATCTATATATGTATGGTATGTATGTAAGAGAGTAATAACATTTTGGTTAGCTTACTTTATTGTAAGAATACAGTGTATAACTCATATAACATACAAAATAGGTGTTAATCGACTATTTATGTTATCCATAAGGCTTCCGGTCAGCAGCAGACTATTAGTAGTTAAGTTTTTGGAGAGTCAAAAGTTCTACATGGATTTTCGACTCTTTCAGGGATCGACACTCCTAAAACCTTTGTTGCTCATGGGTCAACTGTACATACAAAAGAAGTGTGTGCCAATGAGTAGGCTTGAATGTTGAGGCTTGTGGTGGGTGTATGTGAGTGAGCTCTTGTCTGTGTAGGCCTATAAATAGGGGTACATGTGTGCTGGTGAGGCCTGGGAAGTGTATATTAGGAACATGTATTTGCAGGCAGACTCCTGAGCAAGGGTATGCAAATATATATTCAGTTGCACATGTGGGGCATCCGTCCACACCCTATGTTACCCATGACCTGCTGTAGCTTTTTTTCTCCACAGGGCCCCACTGCTCCCTGGAAAGAGGGTCTCTTGGGGTTTCCCAGGCCACCCCTCCTTCCCCTTCCCCTCACTCTTCCTAGATTTTGCTCTGCTAAGGCTGTTGTCCCTGACCATGGATTTGCTGTAGATGGTAGCCGCTTTGGCCTGTCAAGGCTTTTTGGCTGCAATTTTGCCAGAGCAGTTGGTAGAGAATTAGGCAGGGGAGCTGGGGGTGGTGATTGACACGATGGCAGGAATGGGGGTGGCATCAGAGAAGAAGACAGGGACTGTCTCTCTTGAACACTGCCTCCCAGCATGTGGGAGATGGGGATGTGGAGATGATCACGGTAGAACCCTGTGAAAAATAGGAGTTGGGGAATTCTTAAATGCCAGTTCCAAACAAACCACAAACCAGCTCCTCTCCACTGCAAAGGAGCTGTTACAGACCATACTGATTTAAGCTTCTGATGAAAAGAAATGTGTCCTAATAAGCTTGCAAGGAATGGACAAGGTGTTCCCAGGCTGTTGGGTAAAATCTCGCTTCTGTCTCTGTGCCTCTACTTGCTGTGCCTCTCTGGATTTAGCAGCACTGGATGTTGAATTAGTTTGGTTCCTTTCCCTGAAATCAGACTGCCTGTGCCAGGAGGAACCACAGTTCTTTCAAGAGTGGGCAGGGGGCAGGGTCAGCCCTACCCCTGTAAACTCTTAGGATGCTGAGTCATACCCCCTTTCATCACTGAATGGCCCTCTAAATGGGAGTTGACAGGCTCCAGCAGAAGCTCTGTGAGGTGGAGAGCTGGTAAATTCTGGAGAGAGCCAAAGACTAAGGTAGCCAAGCTCTCGGTTTTGCTTCTGGGAGCCAAGAGGTTGCAAGATCCTAAATGGGTGAGCAGTGGCATGGAGGTCACTGATCCTACCTCTGGCTCTCAGTCTTCCTATCTGTAAAACGTGGGAGCTCTTTCCATCTCTAGGTGGGTGGGTGGGTGAAAGCAATGGGAAGTGAGGCTGAGACAGTGACCCTGGGGACTTGTGTCTAGCTCTTGCATGTTGAGTCTGAACCAAGATGAATAAACTGGAGCAGAGAAATGCATTTCTTGAGTTTGTGTTTCTATTCTATTCTTGAGTTTGTGTTATCTGGTGGCCTCTTTTTCACATCATCTGAGCCCCTTTGTGAGCAGAGTTCTGAGCTGGGGGGTAAGGATGGGGGAAGACACGGGAGGAGGAATCGAGCCTGCGACAGTTGACAGTCTGATGGTGGACAGAGAGGTCTCTCCTAAGGGGTTTCTCAGGTTGACGGGGGGACTTGGCCTATTTGGGTTGTCCTTGTCCTAAAGCACCTTTGGGCCTGAAAATGGGGGTGTTGATTGTGAAAGACACCCCCACACAAAACACACAAACACTCATATTTTCAACCCTGCTCTAGAGCCACTGCTTCCCTGAAAGGCAGCCTGACTGCAAAAGACTGAGGGTCCTTAGATGGTTCTGACACAGATGTGGTTACAATACATGTGCATGACTTCAGATATTTGTTGATGCCAATCATATTAGATCTTCTATTTTATTAACTTGTATGATGATTTATTGATGTCTCAAAAATCCATTACTTTTATAAAGAAAGTATATTAGTTACCTATTGCTGCATAACAAATTACCCTAAAACTTAGTGGCTTAAAGCAATACACATTTGTCATCTCACCACTTCTGTAGGTCAGGAATCTCTCTCAAGGCTGCAGTCAAGGCCGAGTCAGTCAGGGTGCATGGACCATTCAGTTCTTCAAGGACTGTTTGCTAAAGGTCACCTTCAATTCCTTGCCATGTGGGCCCTTCTAACATGGCAGCTTAATTCATCAAAGCATGCAAGTTACTAGTAAGAAAGTCAGAGTACTAGCAAGACAGCAGTCAGTTTTCTGCAACCTAATCATAGAAATTCATCCCCTCCATGTTGCCATATCCTGTTGGTTAGAGGTAAGTTTCTCAAAGGGAGGATATTACACAATGGTCTAAGAACCAGGAAGGGGGAGAATCAGAGGGCATCTTAGAGGATGCCCACCATAGAAGACATATTTTATTGATTAAATCAATCAAATACTGTATTGATTATTTTTAAATTACAAAATAAAAATTACATTCTACTTACAATAATTGAAACACTTTATTTTTTAAAATATATTTCTTTATTGATTTCAGAGAGAAAGGGAGAAGGAGAGATGGAAACATCAATGATGAGAGAGAATCATTGATCGGCTGCCTCCTGCACGCCCTCTACTGGGGACCAAGCCCGCAACCCAGGCATGTGCCCTTGGCCGGAACCCGGGACCCCCCAGTCCCCTCCGCAGGCTGATGCTCTATCCACTGAGCCCAAGGGCAATAATAAACATTTTAGAGAAAGGTATATATATTTTATTTTATTTTTGTTGTTGTTGTTGTTTTAAATATATTTTATTGATTTTTCACAGAGAGGAAGGGAGAGAGAGAGAGTTAGAAACATCGATGAGAGAGAAACATCGATCAGCTGCCTCTTGCACCAGGGATGTGCCCGCAACCCAGGTACATGCCCTTGACTGGAATCGAACCCAGGACCTCTCAGTCCGCAGGCTGACGCTCTATCCACTGAGCCAAACCAGTTTCGGCAGAGAAAGGTATATATATTTTAAATCCCAGAAAGTATACTTCTCAGAAATAGTGACCCAAGATATTAATAATTCTTATTATCTCTACATTTGATATTTATACAGAAATAGTATTGAACCAGTTTTGACAAATTCCACTTATTAAGAGATCTTGCTCTAGCAAAGAGCTGTAGCTAAATTTGAATAACTTTAACCATGGAGATTCTAACAATGAGACATGAAGCCCTCAGAGCACAAGAGGGGGAATTTTCAGGAAGGACCCCTTTCCCAAACGTGTGAAGCCTCTTCTGAGCACAACCAATGGTTCAGAGCACAGGCTGTGAGGCCAGACCCCTGGTTTTGGGAGTTAGCACCATTGTTCTCTGTGTCTATGACCTTGGGCAAGTCAGTTAACTTCTCTGTACTGTATCTCAATTTCCTCATTTTAAAATGGAAATATAGGGTTGTAACTACCTCATAGGGTGTTTCAAGGATTAAATGAATATATAATATGCAAAAATACTGATAGCTGTACATGGCACATAGTAAACTACCTTAATGAGAGTCATGGATATACTGTAATTATAAATAATGCTTTTGGGGATGCATATTTCACTTTTCCACAGGAAAAAAAAATAAAAATTTTCCTGAAGAAATTGGAATCTAAAATGAAAGGGTTGTTGTTTTTTTTTTTTTTTCAAATATATTTCTTTACTGATTTCAGAGAGAAAGGGAGAAGGAGAGATGGAAACATCAATGATGAGAGAGAATCATTGATCGGCTGCCTCCTGCACGCCCTCTACTGGGGACCAAGCCCGCAACCCAGGCATGTGCCCTTGGCCGGAACCCGGGACCCCCCAGTCCGCAGGCTGACACTCTATCCACTGAGCCAAGTTGGCTAGGGCAATAATTGAAACATTTTAGAGAAAGGTATATATATTTTATTTTATTTTTGTTGTTGTTGTTGTTTTAAATATATTTTACTGAGAAAAAGATAAAGGCCAGACCACGGGACCAGTGAGGTGAGTTGTAGGAATATAGGACCCCTGCCGATCATCAAGAGCCTAAGGACCTGCCCAGCCCCCGGTGTAATGGTGGGTGAGGGGAGGAGCTGAGCAAGAGCAGGGGTCAGAGCCACAGCCAGGTCAGCAGAGACCCCAGGGGATGAACCAACCCAGCCAAGAATTGCTGTTTCCCATCAGGCACGCTGGCCATGGGGCCTGCTTGTGGGAAGGACCGAGGTACTGCTACGCTTTCTGTCACGGGCAGACCTGGTCCAGGACTCTATAGACTGCCTCCACCTGTGGCAATTGTATGGTGCCGGGAGCCGGTCCAAGGTCACCTCTCCGAGAAAGGTTGTTTCCCCAGGTAGGGATTTTCCCCTGAAGTTAGGGAGGGAATAAAACCTCTTAACTGCCAGGCGGGTAATTAA